CCGGCCATGTCCCCTCACAACTTCTTGTGCCCCCCCAGCCTGCTCACTGGTGGGGTGGGGTGAGGAGCAGAAAAGGCCTTGACGCTGTGTCAGCACTGCTCAGCAGTAACTAAAACATCCCTGTGTTATCAACACTGTTTCCAGCACAAATCCAAAACACAGCCCCATGCTAGCTGCTATGAAGGAAATTAACTCTATCCCAGCCAAAACCAGCACAATATTAAAATAAACTTTTTTTGTTCCCTGTCTCTCGTTCCAGATGAAGCTGCCAGTGTTATTCAATTTGGTAAATCAGCCAAGCGATCACCTGAGTCAACTCAAATTGGGCAGTATGGGAACGGCTTGAAATCGTAGGTATAACAAAAGCCAGCCTCCTGAGATTATGGAAAATAAACTTTTTTTGTTCCCTGTCTCTCGTTCCAGATGAAGCTGCCAGTGTTATTCAATTTGGTAAATCAGCCAAGCGATCACCTGAGTCAACTCAAATTGGGCAGTATGGGAACGGCTTGAAATCGTAGGTATAACAAAAGCCAGCCTCCTGAGATTATGGAGGTTAGAGTTGAGATAGTAAATGTATTTTTTGTTTGGAGGTGTATATCTTTTTTTTTTCCAGGGAAAAAAAAGCAGATTAAATCTAAATGAAGATACCATGGTTCGGTAGACAGGAGCTCTATGAACATCTGCTCTAGTTCTTCAGTGGCAGAGAAGTCTGTCCAAAGCTGATGATAGTGTTTTGCCATTATGTTTGCATGATGCAGAGGATACAGATCAGAGCTGGGGAAAAAAAATGAAAGCGCAGGAAACAAAACCTTAATATACCTGTGGCAGACATAGTAAAATTGGAGCAAAATAGTGCTGCAGCCTCTCACTAGGAAAGTTGTCTGGTGCAAGTCAGATGGACGTAAACCTTTTTTTTTTTTCTTAAATCAAACAAATGCATGGAGAAGAAGGGGAATGATGGAAGGAATGAGAGGAGGAGTGGGATTAAGTGGCAGCGGAACAGAGTGGGAAGGAAATCTTACAACCAGTAAGGTTACTTACTTAAGGAGGGGATTTGCTAGGAAAGAGAAAGGTGTTTGCTTTGGTGAACTGATGTCTTTGGGAAAGTTAGAGGGCTTGTATGGCTTACTCTGATCGGCTGTTCTGCTTTTTGCTGTTCCGTGTGGCTTGATTATTTATATGCATCCTACTGGGGAAATCTGTGGGACTCTGTAATCTGGGGGGGGAAGAAAAAAAGGGGATGTAAGGGATCTTGAGATACTATTGATCCAGCTGCAGTGCAGGACAGATCCCAGATCCTGCCTATGCACTTTCAGAGCAGATCTCTGTCCTGTTCTTAACCTTGAGCAAGAGGCATGCTGTATTACAGCTGAAAAATGCAGACTGAAGCCTAAACATGTGAAAGGTGAGCTTTGGTATTGCATTAAGCCAATTTAAAGAGAACTGAACTGACAGAACACTAATTCTTCTTTTGATGCAATGTTAATTTTTCTCTGTTAAGGTTTTTTGGACGAGTTGGGTAACAGGGTAAAAGAGAAGATGGGGAAGGCACTATTGGGGATAGGAGAGTGGGGAGGAAGATGGGACTGTCCCTTTTCGTGACAACTAGCTGCTAAGTTGCATTAGCTGAAGTGTCAGCGAGTCTTTCGAGTTAGACATTAGGAAATAAATTGTCTCTCTCTCAGAAACTTGTCTGCTGCTATTCATTCTGTGTACGGCCAAATGAGGTGTGCATTTGCTTTCTCACATTTCTGCTCATATATTTGAAGGTTATTGTCACAACTCTTTTTTTTTTTTTTTTTTTTTTTTTTTTTTTTTTTTTTTTTTTTTTTTTTTTTTTTTTTTTTTTTTTTTTTTTTTTAAACTTTCTACATAGTATGAGTCTGGAGAGCCGCGCTGTACTTCTGCACCTTTTAATTGTGACTGGTGTTAAATGTTTTGAAATGTTGCGAAAATGTCCAGATCGAGATGCCTTTTGAAAGGAATGAGATGTTCAGAGAGAAATGGTAGTTGCTGTTTAAGCCCTTCTTCTGCCTTACCTGGTTTTGGCATCTCATAATTGAATATAATAGGAAGAAAATTCAGTAATGTGGTCTGCTTTCTAGAAAGTGTTGTGCATCAGGTGTAACATGCAGCCTGACATCTGTCTCCAGGGGTTCCATGCGGATTGGGAAGGATTTTATCCTGTTCACGAAGAAAGACAACACCATGACTTGCCTCCTCTTGTCACGGACGTTCCATGAGGAAGAAGGCATCGATGAGGTTTGCATGTACTTTGTTGTAATGAACTAATATGGTGAATGCTGTCTCAACTGAACTTCACCAGGTCTCACAGGAGAAGAGTCTGTGTCAGTGTTGGTTGCCACTCTGGTTGGATCAGTGTATGGTTTTCTCTTGGTGATACACTTGTAGGGGTTCTGCAAAGTCATCAAAGATTTTTTCCTTTTGGTTTTAATTCTGTTTGAGAGGTCTCTCTAAACTACAGCAAGTTTGAAGGCCTGCTTTCAATCACATAAAGTTGCTCATGCTGAGTTCAGGACATGCCCAGACTTCTTGCATTTTCCTTTTCCCACAAAATTTGAGTTTGAGATGTATTTAAATTTATTGCTCCGATTTGATTTTCTGTAGAGAATTAAAGGTGTGCTTGAAGTTGCTACCTGCAGGTCATAAACTCCAGACATGTATCTTCTTTTGGATCTTTTTTTTTTAAATAAAAAATCAGTGTGGTTCTACCTATTGAAAACTTGTATATCTTAATAGATAATTCAGGCATTGTTGTTCTGTATCCAGACTCTTAACATGGAGGTATTATTGTGCTCAAGCACAAGTATTTTCCAGGCAAGACCGATAATGAAAAGTTTTAAATTTGCACTGGGATAGTATTTAAGAAAGCATTTTCCATTGTGAGAGTGGAGGGACCTCTAAAAAGAAGCTGTTGAGGGAGCAATGCTTGCTAGTGGCCGACTGATGGCTGAAGCAAGTTGGGAACAGTGATGTAGTTCCCACAGCGGCTCTGGAGGCAGAAATTTTGGTTTGACCTCAATTCTAAAATGAGGACGGGATTCGCTGTCCTTGATAGGCAGCTGCAGGCTATAATTCTATCTGTGTTTTTGTTCTAAATGACAGAAAACACCAATAAGCTTGCTAGAATCCTGTAAAAATAATGAAGAGTGAGATCAGGATAAATATGAGTGAAGGATATTTGAGTTCAAGAGGGAAGTTAAGCACAGAGGTTGACTTTTTTAAAGAAGCAAAGTTTGGGTGTTTTTTTAGTATTATGAAAGTTGTTACAAGAGGAGGGGAAAAAAGACGTTAAGTGTGTGAGTAGCCAGTACCATACAGGTTACTTGGGAATGTTTCAGTCTAAGACTAGATGTTGTAGGAAGGCAACTCAGAGGTTGGCAAAGAGGGGTCCTCGAGCATTTGACAGACGTGCAAACCACTGAAAAGCTAGGAAGGACTTTTGCAGTGACTTAGGGGGCTGTCGGAAGGGGTAAGTTGCTTGGCTGTGATCCACAGAAGGGGCTGACTGGAGTGGGTGAGCCTGAGTCACTCTTGGTACGATGCAATTTGCAGGTCATCGTTCCCCTGCCCACCTGGAACGCACGAAGCCAGGAGCCTGTGACTGACAACATGGAGAAGTTTGCTATTGAGACGGAGCTAATTTACAAGTATTCCCCTTTCAAATCAGAAGAGGAAGTGATGGAGCAGTTTAATAAGATCCGTGGTGAGAAAGGTGTGTATGGACGGTGCTGGTCACGGGCAAGGTATTTGGGGTTTGGCTGGGATTCACCTGATCAACTTGTTACTTGCTCAGGCACCCTGGTGATCATCTTTAACCTCAAACTGATGGATAATGGAGAGCCGGAGCTGGATGTGGCTTCTGACCCCCGAGACATTCAGATGGCAGAAACACCTCCAGAGGGAACGTAAGTGTGATGGGTGTTACAGGCCGTTGGGCTCTGATCAAATTATGTGTGGGGTTTGGCTATATACCGCATGCATGTGTTTTTTAAAAGCTCTCTTTCTATGGTGAATTGGAGAATTTAGAAGATCGTTAGTTTGTTCTTTAGCAGTTTGGAGTTCATGCGTGTAAATGGCCCGCAGGCGTTATGGTTGTGTGTTTGGTGTGAATGCCTGCGTTAGCTTGTCTCAGCTTAGTCAAAGCAGCAAACTCAATGCCTTTCTTTAGGCACCTTAAAACAAAGGAGCCCTAAGCTATAGGTTTAATTTTCTACACTCATCAAAGATGTTTTCGTCAGAATGACAGCTGGTCGTGAGTCTGTGCTGCTCTTAAACTGACGTTCAGTTTTGTGATTAAATGAACCCTGGCAAAATGTGAGGTGCTGCGCGGGTCAGCCTCCACGAGGGAATGGTACGGGTGGGTGCAGGTGGGGTGTATCACCATGTCTTTCTGGAAGCAGGGGCAGCTCCTGGGCTTCCCTGCAGAGGAGGAAGAAGGATGTGCTCAGAAGGCAGCTCGAGGAGCAGAGGGTCCTCTTCAGGGAGAGCTGAGTGTTTGCCGAGTTGTTCACCTGTAGCCTGGAAAGGAAAAACTGAGCTGAACTGAGCCAAATGTTTGATTAAATCCCAGAGCTCCATGGACACACCTAGCAAGCTTTACCTTTTTTATGAGATTACACGCTTCTTCCCTGAAGTGCTTGAATTTCCCATAGAAATACAGTTTCAAACACTATAAAGCTAGCTATTTCTGTATGTATTAGCTTGATGTTATTGAGTACACAGGTGCAGCAAACTCCTTGGGGACCTCCAGGGATCTAATATGCTTCTCAGTTTCTTTAATGCCTGCTGGTGAGCTTTCATGATTACCACTGATCACTGGAAGGAGCTTCTTCCTCCTGACCTTGTGATACCATTTCTGTGTGTGATCAGTGCAGTTTCTGTTGGAGCATACTTCTGACTGACCGAAGGGTAAGAGAACGCACTAGCAAGTGGGGCACACACTTAGTGTTAAATGGTCCGGTTTATAGGTTTGACCTTTATTATCCAGCTGTATTCAAAACATCCTTTTCAAGCTACAGTAATATGTGCATCAGTGTTTTGTAACAGTATTTAAAATGCACAGCTCAATTTAAAATCTCTGTAGAAGACATAGGTAGAAAAAAATTAAAAGAAAAGCCTCACTTAATATAGGTGGATGGTAATTAAAACAGAAAGGCCTTTTCTTTTACCTAGCTTTCTTGCTGAAGGTTGTCTCTGGCATGTTTTGAAGCAGATGGCTTTGAGCTGAGATGGTAACAGTTACAGTTGCATGAGGTGTGAATCCTGCCATAGGTGCTTAAAATACATCGGGGATAGTGCAGAGCGGCGTGGGAGGTGCTTCTGTTGGTCACTTGGCTCCTGGGTAGCAGTTTATTGGGAAATGAGAATCTTACAAGTTTTGTCCATGGAGAAACCTGTTCATTTGGTTTAGATAGAGGAGGAGGCTCTGTGACCGTAGTATGTCATGGCTCTTCTTATTTGGAGGGGAATGAAGGGGAAAAAACTGAAGGATGAGAGGAAGCAGAGCGCAGACTAAAAGAGACTCCAAGATGAGCACTCTGACTAAAGAGACACTGAGTGCTCGGGGGATGGATCAGTGGAGTCATCTTTGGACTACACAGACCAGACTGGGAGAATGTCTGCTGGTAGTCCTACAAGGAAATGCTGAACAAACTGCTCAGTCTGTGTAAGCATCCCTCTCTTGCAGAAAGCCTGAGCGCCGCTCCTTCCGTGCCTATGCTGCTGTGCTTTATATTGATCCCAGAATGAGGATCTTCATAAATGGACACAAAGTACAAACCAAACGGCTTTCATGCTGCCTGTACAAGCCAAGGTAAGTGTTGGACCCAAAGTCTGCAGACATGTGGGACCTTTTGGAGTTTCCTTACAGAAAAGGTTTAGCACTTTGCTCTCCAGGTGTATCCTGCATAACTCATGTTAAAGCCACAGAAACAGATTGTAAGAGAATGGGATGTGGTATTGACATCATGGCAAGAGGGGCAGATAGTGGAAAATCTGATGCCTTTGAAAATTGCATGAGTAATTTCTGTACTTTGGCTCCCTTTCAGAGCAAACAAAGAAGTGAAGATACTGGTTGTTCAAAATGCTGTATCCATACAAAACTGTTGGGTAACTGTTTTTTTAAATAGAACAAGGAAATACATATGGTGGGTGTTAGAATTATTACTGAAAAGAAACTAGACTGAGCACTTTGAAACAGTTGCTTTGAAAATTAACTTTTATATGTAGCTGATCTAGGCTTGAATAGAGATTGGGAAATACCTTTCCCAATCTTTCTTTTAAATTCCCTTAAACAAAAAATTTGGAAGTGAGCTGAGGTGTGCTGCCAGTTGACTTAACAGGGACTGGAAGAGGTTATAAGGATGGGAGGGGAAAGGAAAACATGTATTTAAGTCTGCTTGAGGCAATAGTGTTTTTCTGTCCCTGGGAGCACTCAGGTTGCATTCTAGATAACTTAACATGATTTGTCTTAATAAAATAGTAGTAATTTTATAGAGTATTTGTGGATTGTTTTAATATAGCATTTTGCATTGCAGTAGTGTTTCAATAGTATGGGCCCACTATCAACCCATCGGGTACTTTTACTAACTGCAATCTGATGTCACGCCATCGATTGCTGCCCTAAGAGCCTGGCCAGTTTTCAGCTTACAGCATGGTCTGTCTGTCAAGCTCGTACTTCCTCAGCTTCTTAAATGAAAATGTGTGAAATGGTATCAGAAACTTGACCGAAGTCAAGGGAGATTACATCCACTGCTCTCCCCTTGTTGACCAAGCCAGTTGTTTCATTGTAGAAGGCAGTCGGTCGGTGCAGCTTGACTTGCCACTGTAAATCCTGACTTGCTGGGTAGAGAGTCTCTGAATTTCTGACTGTGTTTTACCTACATGTGAGTGCCATCTGCTGCTTCCTCTTGTGCCGCAGGCCAACAAAAGTACTATGGAGAGAAAGCAGAGAAGGAGGGCACAGGTTTTTATCTCATCAGAGACCAGCTTCTTGCGAGACTCAAAGGCAGGATGCCATTGCTATGGGATGGTGCTAGCATTGTCATGATAATATAACATGGACCAGGTCACCCCAGATGTTCATCTGCCTCAGTATCTTCTTTTTCAAGTGGTCAGTAGTTGATGCCTGGGGAAGGATATGAGAATTTTATTCTATACCATAGGACTGTTTTCTGTTGAAAAGAGACTGTGTTTTTAGACAATTTGGACAGCAGCTCTTCTGGGTCCCTATCATCAATTCTGTATCTGCTTTTCATTGTTTTTGGGGAATAGTTGCAGCTGTAGAAGGGGAAATTCAGATTATAACTGCTCAGCAATAGTAATTAATGACCAAGGAATGATCTGGCATGGAGGGCAAGAAGGCCCAACCACAGAATGGGTTGCACTGGCTGATGAGATAAGAAATGCTGTGGTATTGTCTCGTAACAATTGTCTAATGCCAAGTGCTCAGGGGCCAATTGTGGTAAACGGAGCTGGTGCTGGGGGATGAACCCAACGCTGGGCTAAAGTGCCCCATGCTGATGCTCACGGGATCGGTGCTGGTGCAGGTGTATAATATCTGTTTGTGCCACATCTTTGCAGGCTCCTTGTAGATCTGCTTATGGTGGTAGGCTAATAAAAATTCCCCGAGACTGTAAAGACATTTACATTTAAAATCCCCACTCCTGCAGCAGAGTAGTAAAGGCTGTGCAAACAAGGAAGGCCTTCCTGTAGAGCACAGTGTAGATCTTCTTGGACTTGGGGAAATATAGCCTTACTGGGTCTTTCTGGAGAGTGTCCAGACTGCTTCCTTTTGGTCTCAGACTCCTGATGCCAGGTTTGGGCTCCAGAAGCTGCGTGGCCATTGGGATGAGCCATTGAAATCTTCACCGTGGGTTCTGAGAGCCAGCACAGCCCTTGGGGTAGGTGCCCACACTGTGCCCTGGACAGGTTGTGGAAACTCAATCTTTTACCTTCAGACACCTGAGCAGAGCTTAGTCTGCCCTGGGTGGCTCTTTCCTGAGGGAAAACCAGTAAATCAGTCCATTCTCAGAGTGGAATTACTCTGCTTTTACAGCTACAGGAGATTTTTTTTCTTTTTTCTCCCTGAACCTGCTGAAAAGCGTTGCTTATGCCAGGGATTTTCCCTTTAGAGTTGGAGCCAGAGCTCACGCATCGCCATTTAGCTACTGGGCTTTGAGTGCTCTGCAGGTTAATATTACTCCCCTGCACTTGTACAGGGACTCCGATTTGTATGGGGGTGCATGGGGGAAGTGTACCACCGTTAAGGTGTTCCTTTAGAGGATAGTTGATGCGGCAGCCATGCTCAGCTCTTAGCATAGCTGTTTTTTGCAGAGCCTCAGTAGCCTAGGCCAAGTAACTGTTGAACTTTCCTGGTCCAGCAAAGTGGTTAACAGGCAGTGAAGGTTCTCCTGTCTTACAGCACAAGTAGATGGTGTGCTGCGTGTGGTACGTACTTGAGGGCACTTTGCTAGTCTTTGGGGAAGTGTCATGATGCCTGAGCCTAAACAGGTGTTCATTTTGTTCATATCCTCCTGATAAAGGCCAGTGAACTACTGTAAGGGAATGCCGTTCATCTGTTGGTATGGAGACGCCTCTGTCCAGCCATACTGTTGGTTTTATAAGAAAGTCTGTTATAAACCAGCCTGGCACGCAAAGGGCAGGTCATTACCTGATGGTGAGCTGACAAATGACTCCCGATTGCGGTCTTTTTACATACTTCTTGACGAACTTTGGGCCAGGTGTCTTTCTGTTTGAAGTGATGCTTTCATGCCTTACGTTGGACATTGGTAGGTACAGCCATCAGCTTGTCTCTCTGCCCTCTGATCTGCTTTCAAGATCTGCTCAGGAGGATTGCCTTCAGGAGGTGGTGGCTCCCCTTCTACAGTAGGGCTGTAAGTCAGATTGCCTTCATCTCTGAAGGAAAAGCTTGTACAGTGGCTTGTCTGCAAGTGAATGTGTTGGTGTTAGAGAACAAAGAATGGAAATCCATTGTGGGCTTTAGGGTATTTAAGTGCCTTTACTGAAATTTGAGGTTTTGCAGCCATTGCGCTGTTCTTCGTCAGGAATAACAGCTTGTCTCCAGAGCAGGGCACTTGTTTTCCTTTTGTCATCTGCCCTTTCTGGAAGCCGTGTTTCTGTGCGTAGAGGCTTCTCCATACCTTTCTGGAGCCTGTAACGTCCCGGTGGCAGGGGCAGGCTGGTTTTGTGCAGATCCTTCACCAGTGTTTGCAGGTGTGATACCACAGTACCAGCCTCCCTGGAAATGGTTTATGTCCCCTGAAGGGTTCCCTCCCACAGTAACTGTTTGAGCTTGTTTAGCAGCGCGGGCCGTGCAGATAAAAGTAGCCAGGCCATGTGCAAGGGTGTCCCTTCACAGGGGCACTCCAAGGCAGTTGTAATGAACATCTTGAAGCTGGGAGGGTGTGTTTTACTGTCGTGTCCTGCAGACTTCTTGTCTGTCTGACCTGTTTCCGTACGTCTTTGCTAGATACGCTGTTCCAGAGCACTTGAGTATAGGGGCTTTCCCGGCTGTGACTGAAGTCATTTGGTGTTGGAAAAGAAAGTGAAACGGGAGGGCAGGCGTGGTGATGGCTTACGGTGCCTATCTGGGACACCCTGCCCTTGCTCGCACTGCACCCTGTTGCAAAGGGGGTGCTGTCCGTAAGGTCCCCTTCAGGTACTGCCCTGCCTCACGAGCTGGGCGTGTTGAGGTAATTCAGCTTCACCCTGCTTCTCTTTTTTTGCCTCAGGAAAGGCAGATGGGATGTGGATGAGGTAAATTAATTATGCCAACATGTTGAAAGCAGTCTGGTTTTCAGTATGTGTTCTCTCTTTTGGCCCCAGGTAGCTTTAATCGCCCTTAAGTAGGTTTGAGGAGATGGTGCCACCAAAAACCTGACTGTGCATCTCCTAATATGGTTATTGGGTGATTTCTGGAAGAGTTAGCACCTGCCTGCTTTTTCCCCAGTGAGAATATCCTTATGAAGAGCAGAAAATGAGTTTAGTAAATGCAGAAATGTATTTAAGTGGACTGTGCTTGTGGTGTGAATTTTCTGGATTTGGGAACAAGAGATTTCTGTTGGTGAGACTATTTCTGACATCAGTATCGGCATCCATGTGTGCTCGCCCACAGAAACATACCTAAATGAAATTTTTCATCTGTGCAAGGTGATTTCTCATGGATCCTGATAGATTTGAGGGGACCTTGTCTCTCACTGGGATCTAACTGTGGTTGCTCCTACATTAATGAGTTGGTTAATCAAGTCTTACATCCTTATGTGTTTCTGCCTCTGTAAAAACAGCATTTCTTTCTGGTGGCTTTTGCTTTGGCTAAATGCTGGAGAGATTTATTTTTTCATAAAAAGTTATTTGGGATGGGATTTTCCTCTCGATACATCCAAAACCTTGTGTCTTAAGGCGGTTTGAGTTCCTGCAGGCTCTGATCATCCTTCTTGGTGTCATCTCCTCTTTCCCAAATGCGTGCGTCTGTTCAGAAGTGACGCATACTCATGAGCTTCTGCCTCTTATACACGCCTGTCTCTTTCACTCTGCAGTACTCAGTCAGATTGTGATCTGTATTTGGCATGTTATGATATAGGGAAGGTGAAACAAGCCACTGCAACTCAAGCACAAGTTACAAGGTTGTGAGTCAGATGTGTAGCATACAGAAATGTCCTGAAACTTCAGAGCTGAAACTTGAAGCTCCGTTCAGAGAGTTGCTCTGCCGCTTAGAGGCTTTGAGCTAGCTCTGTGTGGAGATGGGCACTGTCAGACTGCACCTGTGGACAGCTGTTTGTAGGAGGAAGGAAGGGCTATTTATCTGCAATGGGAGGTTTTTGAGAAGCTTTCCATATATATTCACTCCTTCTTTTCCGCTTCTGAAGAAGTTATTCCTCTAAACCTTGGGATTTCCTCCAAGAATATGGATATATTTCACCCCCACTGGCTAATGCAGAAGGGGGTATTGTGGTTGCAGCTACTATTAAAGCATCTCTGACTTAAAAAGTTTCACCTAACTGTATCCAAAAATGCCTAGTTCCTGATACGTAAACCTCCTTCGCCATTTATTGAATCTACTGAGAAGAGTAGAGTAGCATGTGGAGACCCTATTCTCTCATACAGTGATGAAATCTTGGTTTGACCTTACTGCTGAGTTTGCTGATTAATAAGTTTTGATCATCACAGGATGTACAAATATACTTCAAACCGTTTCAAGACCCGTGCAGAGCAAGAGGTGAAGAAAGCAGAGCACATGGCAAGGATAGGTGAGTCTTCGGGGTATGCATGCATCCTGATTTTGCTGTAGCGAAGGAAAGGACTGAAAGAGGCTGCCTTGCTGGATATGACCTGAAATTGCTTGCTTCTGTGATCATTATGGTTGCTCAGGAGATCAGTTATTACAGCGACTACAGATGACCCAGAGTTACTTCCATGCAATGGAAGGAACGTACATTGTTCCCTAAGACCACTTCCTCTGGGGAATACATGTACAGAATAACCCTTGGAGTCACAGCTTTCTGCCCTTGCTCCATCTGAAGCCTGGCTAAGCTGCCGCCCTGTTACCCTGCAGTTCTGCTCTCACCTTTTGCATATCATTAGCTTTTTTTCTGTTCTCCTTCTGCTCCTTCCCTGTTGAGGCAGTTGTTAAAAAAATGTATTTTTATTCTATCACTTGATGTAAAGTGATTGATCTGGGTGTACAAGGGAGTCCTGGTTTGTTTCTTGTTTTTTTTCCCCCTTCAAGACATACCTTTTGTCCATCTAATCTTCCCTTCCTATTAAGTACTGTAGTCCTCAGGAGAAACCCAATTTGACATTATTGGATATTCAGCATATAGAAATTACATAAGCATATAAATATAGCCTATAACTTCATTAAATTTGCACAAATTTAACACACAAAGCGGTCTCCCTAATCCCTGATGGGGAAATGCCATAGTGAAGGAGGAATCTTGGAAGTTGTAAGACATGTTGACCTATATCTTCTGGTAGGTTTCATAAATCAACTTCATAAATCAATCAGAGGCATGTGTCCTCTGTCCCTGCGTAAGAGCTGCTCTAGGAACACGTGTGTGTGCAGGTCAGATATGTAAGTGACAGTGCCGTGTTCAGCCTGTGTAGAGTCATTAAGGGCAGCATGATTTTGACACTGCCCAAAGCAAAGCAGCAAAATGAAATTGTGTAAATTGCTATGTTCCCTATTCCTCTTTTATGAAGTACAACCTAACAAGATAGACTTGAAATTATGAAGTTTAAGCCGATTTTATCCTGTGCCTGAATCCTCATAGATGAATTTATTTTTTTGGTTGAGTCCTTGTCATGGTTTAACCCCAGCTGACAACTAAGCCCCACACGGCCGCTCGCTCACTCCCCCTCGGTGGGATGGGGAAGAGAATCGGAAGGGTAAAAGTGAGAAAACTCGTGGGCTGAGATAAAGACAGTTTAACAGGTAAAGCAAAAGCCGTGCACACAAGCAAAGCAGAACAAGGAATTCATTCACTCCTTCCCATGGGCAGGCAGGTGCTCAGCCATCTCCAGGAAAGCAGGGCTCCATCACGCGTAACGGTGACTTGGGAAGACAAACGCCATCACTCTGAACGTCCCCGCCTTCCTCCTTCTTCCCCCAGTTTTATTGCTGAGCATGACGTCCTGTGGTGTGGACTATCCCTTGGGTCAGTTGGGGTCAGCTGTCCCGGCTGTGTCCCCTCCCAACTTCTTGTGCCCCCCCAGCCTGCTCGCTGGTGGGGTGGGGTGAGGAGCAGAAAAGGCCTTGACGCTGTGTCAGCACTGCTCAGCAATAGCTAAAACATCACTGTGTTATCAACATTCTTTTCAGCACAAATCCAAAACATAGCCCCATACTAGCTGCTATGAAGAAAATTAACTCTGTCCCAGCCAAAACCAACACAATCTTATAGCCAAAGCAGGTGTTCAGCACACACTTGCATTGCATTCAAGAAGGTGCAAATAGCATGAGTTAGAGAGGCTTCTTTCTTGCAGCAGTCCATGAGGCCTTCATGATGTTTAAAAGGTGAGCTTTAGTGTCTTGACACTGAAGAATACTGCCATTCAGTGTCCCAGTGCTAAGAACAGATACCATTGGCACGGAAACGTAAACTCATTTTCATCACCAAAGCTAGCCTGCTGCCTCTGGTGGTGAAGTGGGGGCTAAGCAGAGGGCTTTGAACATAGTGGTGAAAACTCACGGCAGACCTCAGACTGTTTTCTGCAAGACTTGATCACATGAAGCCTCCAGGACTAAAACATTCTTGTAGCATTAACCTCAACTTCAGTGGCACAGGTCTCATTTCTTTGCTTCTAGGAAAATTAATTTAATCTGTAACAACCAAGTTCTCTTGTTCTGCTGTTGATAGAAAAGGTTAATTTCTTGTCATCTCCAGCATGTTTTCTCTTGAGGATGCACACCGCTCAGGAGGGATCTTCACCAGGGAATGATTTGCAGTTTTCTCCTTCAAAACTAGGGGCGCGTTGTGAGAAATGGTGGGTCTCAGCCGAGCTAACCACAGTTCCAGTATACTGTGGCTGCCTGCCAGGGATGTGTTGGAATCCATCATACTGTAGAATTCTACTGAGGGATTGATGAGTCTCTGGAAGTAGCTTATGACCTTGTGGAACCAAAACTTATGATAACCAAAAAATAGCTATAGGGGGGGGAAAGTCAAAAAAAAAAAAAAAAAAGGGCAGCTGTGACTATTGGTGACATGGCTTTGGTATATCCAAAAAGAGCCATGGCTCAGGAGTGAAGACATACATATATTTAAGATGAGGAAAAGCCACTCTTCATTCCCTGGGAACTGATTTCCTGCCTCATGCGATAAGCTGTAGCATCCAGATCCCTAAGTGAGCGGGTGGACCCAGGAAAAAAGTACCATTCCTGGGCAAGGTAGCTGTGAAAGACCGTCAGCTGCTTTCTGTGTATTTCTGAACCAAGACTGAATACCGCACCAAGGCATTTCGGTATTGCCATTGCCTAGTTTCAAGAAATCCTCTTAAAAAGTTGGAAAAGCAAATGAACAGAAAAGGTGAGGAGTTACGGGGTGTCCAATACTGAAAGTCATTAACAGCTATGTTCTGCACTGGATATCAGTCTGGAGTATTTCAGTGTGTCCAGTTTCTTGCTTGGCAGTACCATGGGTATGCTGTGCCTGTTGTCCCCTGGGAGGATGTGAATGCGGATTCTAGCTGCTGTATCCTCGTCGTCCCGCGTAGGGCATGCATTTTTGCCCATTAGGGCCTCAACCCTCAGACTCGTAACTGAATCGTTCCCTGTCAGCCATGCCTTCTCAGTTGTCATTGCGTTAGTGGAGCAGGTTTGACCTTCATTCACAAATGAAGTCGTAACCAGGTCACTGCTGTGTTCTTCCCTCTAGACACAGCTGCATTTAGCCCACCAGCTTCTACCGTACAAGCTTTGATTTAAACGGACCAAGTGTTTTAACCAGTCTCCAAACTCCTGTGTTTTCACGGTTAGCCAAGCTGTCCCTTGATGGTGAAGTCGGTCGCACAGTGCAGTTCTGCTGTGACTTGCTTGGTAAGCTGCTGTGAACCTCAGAGTGTGCTTCTGTGGGAATTAGTGGAACAAAACTCAAATGTAACGCTGCATAGAAAGGAAAGGTGATTTTTATTGTAATGGTCTAAGTTGACTGTGCCCATTTGCATTCCTGTACTTGCACACACCAAAAAAGTGCATTTCCACAAGTAATGCTGACCGTGGCATGGAGGACGGTGGATACCAGTTATCAAACACTGGCTACAGCATCTAGATTCCTTCTGGCTGACAACTGAGTGCTGCTTTTTGGAGAGGTGCTTGGTAATCTCTAGGACCCAATTGCTATCCTGTCATCTTCTTGCTTACCTCATCCTCCGTAAATCTTAGGCAAGATCACTCCTCCACTGTTGTGTTTCCTTGTTTTGGGTGTCTCATAGCTGCAGTTTGTCTCCCTGTTGGGAGCGCAGGGAGGGAGATGGCTCGTAGGGCGTGCTGCAGCTGCGCTGCTGCCCTCCTGCTACGGGGGTGCAGGCCTACTGCTCACCTTCATGTAAGCCACAGCATTCCTCAGCACATACTGGTTGTATTTCCAAATCGTGTCTGTGCCTGTCAGCACATGCCACTCTCTTAACCCGTGCTTTATCATTTCTTCTAGTCATCTTGCACGTAAACATTTCCATTCATACTTTATTTATACCAGTCTATTTCTGTTAGAAATCTCTACAGTTCACGAAGGCTGAGGTGTCACTGCATCCTCTTTCAGAAATTTCCGTGCTCGGAAGCGAGCACGGGGAGCATTGCGGCAAGGTCAGTGCTGCATCCACAGCACATGTGCCCAAGTCGGGTGCCTGCAGGTGGCAGCTGCAGCTCCGACGTTCCCTGCCCAAGCAGGGCATTACTTGCCAGTCCACGTTTACCCCCGTGGACCTCAGCCTGTGGGACGGAGGAAGATTACTCACTCAACTAGTTCTTCTACAGCTGTGAGCAGAACAGGCTTCTGACCTGAAAGGGAATGTGAGAGGGTTGTAGCCAACGTGCTTTTGGATGGAGAGCATGCAGATGCAAGGTACGTGGTGCTAATTTACCAAAGCACCTTGTGTATCAATTTTAGGAAGGGATCTCCTTGCTGAAAATGAAATTTATTGAATGAATCTTAAGCAATACAAGGGTGATGTGTACCTATTGCCAGGCAGTCTTGGTAGTCTGGGAGAGAAGCGAAAAGGGGAGTTTCTTTTAAGTGGTAAACTTTGTGCGTGCAAAGATCAGGTGTAGTGGTAGGTTTTTTGAACACTGTGTCTTATTTTGTGTGTAGCACAGATTTGTCTTTTTCCAGGCAAAAATTAGCAATTATCAAAGATAAAAGTATTTCTAAGAGTAGTCCTTTCCCTTCATCTCTGCAAGAAAATTACCTCTTTGTAACTCCTTTTCAAGCTTGAACTCAGTCTTTGTTTTGTGAGAGCCTTTCTCTGCCTTCACGCTTCCAGGCAGAGCAGGCAGAGCCACTTGCATACTTACTCTTTCCAGTTCCTCGCTAACTTCCTCATGGATCCTTCCTTTAAACATGCTTTTGCAGAGTTTAGCCCTGCTATTATGCCAGCGTTGGCTGCGACCTCTGAGCAAGTTTAACATGGCATATCGGTGGTGCCCCCTTACATGTCAGATTTTCTTTTGTACCTTTTTGTGTTATCTTTGTACCCTCGTACATGTCACTCCAGCAAAGGCTCTCTGGAAATTGGTCTCCTCGGGTGAATGCCTTATGATATGCTGTTTGTACTGAATGGTTGACATCATCCTTTTCCCTGTGTGTTTCAGCGGAGGAGAAGGCTCGTGAGGCGGAGAGTAAAGCCCGTGCCCTTGAGCTGCGCCTAGGAGGGGATCTCACGCGGGAGTCCAGGGTGAGCCTTGTGCTTTGGCAGCACGTCACGTTTTAGGCACTGAGGGATGATTCAGAGCGCTGGCTTTGGAGCAGCGCTGGCTGGTCAGCACCCAGTGGTAGCACCCGGTGTGTAGGTTAAGCAGGTGGCAACTTCAGTCGGCGGTGAGTTGCCAGCAGCGTTCAGGCAGCTCTGTGGTCTCATCACCACTGGATGTGCTTCAACATCTACATGTGTTTCCAGCCCAAGTGGAAAGCCTGCTGACATTCCCCTGCACACAGCCTCCAATGTATCCTGAGTGGGAAGGCAACCCCCAGCCCCCAGGTGCTTTGTTTGATGTCAGCCTCTGCAGAAGAGGCCAGGGGAACATGAGGTATTTGAACAGAAGTAAAATTGGGTGCTTTTCGGCTGTTCCCCCTCCCTGCCTGCACAGCTGGCTCCAAAGCATTTGGGCAGGGGCTTTTGGAGAGGAGCTGTTTGCTTCCTCCCAGTGGAGGCTCTTGGCAGGGGCAAGGCTGAGACCCAGCCTGCTGCTGGGTGGGAGGAGGGCTTGCGGGGACGCCAGGTGGGTCAGCAAGTGACACCAGCTTAAAATCGCTGTACTTCCTATTGGCCTCTAATGGAAACAACAGTATTCCAGGTACCCTGGCTGTTTCCCTGTGCCTCCATTACCCTCTGGTTTCAGTTACCTTAGACGTTTAGTTACGTTTAGACTTGTCTTCTAAGCAACTGTGTATAACTTTAAGCTTAAACAACCCAGCAGCAAGTGCTGCCTTAAATAAAGTAAAGGTGTGCTGATTGTCACCCTCCACCATTCGTGAATTCTTTACATTTAAAACATTTCTGAGATCTTCCTGAAGGGGGAAAAAAAATCATAGAAGTGAGTTAATTTCATGAATTTCTCAGCAGCAGTTTTACTGTGTGATGCCTGTTTGCAGGTGACGCTACGTCAAGTCCAAAACTCTGCAATAACCATGCGCCGGGAGGCTGATGTCAAGAAGAGGATCAAGGATGCAAAGCAGCGGTGAGTGCAAGGTGGTTAAAAGCTCTGATTTTCCCAGGCTGTTCACTCCACGTGCTCAGATGTCTCTCCTGCTTTGCTTGTGTGGTGGAGGGAGCAGTTCAGCTCAAAGCTTAAATATCTGTGGGCATCCTGTATGCCCTGGCTGTTAAACCAAGGGGACTAAGTTTGCTGTTCCGGTTGCTTCTGCTATTCCCCTCTTACTTGCTGAAAGGCATCTTTGGATTTGGCTTGTTTTCTGTAGATGTTTACCTGGTTTTCACGTCAGCTTTTTTCACTCTTTTGCTTTTTCATCTGCAGGTAAGATTCATGGAGGCAAACAAATGTTGGCAAGTTACAGTGACATGACTTTTAGAGTTGTAGAGATGTTTTCTAAAAACTTGCTGAGTTCTATTATAGTCAGTGCTGTGAAATCCCAAAACATTGTTCTAACTTAGCTCTGGTTGCAATTAACTTTGCTACTGATGTACTCACAGGAATATTTCACTCTTTGTATACAGTTTTTTTGCAAATTTGTCATATGCATTTCACAAATGAAGTCGTAACCAGAAACAAATGCTCTTAAAACAAGTTCGGGATTTGTATATACCAAGCCTCCGTTCCCACCTAGTTGTTTTGCATGCTAGTTTACATGGCTGCTTAGGTCAGAACTATCCCAGACTTGTTGCCAGAGATAGATCTAATGCATCTTAAGATGCTAAAAATAAATAAATAATTACAGCTTTAATTTAAAAGTGCTAGAGCTGTGATCTGAAGAATGCAGAAACTCTTGGGAGAAACTGTTTTCTTCAGCTTCTGTATACTTTTCCACGTACAGCTTGTCTTTTAATTCTTGGGTTTGATGACATTAGTGCACAAAGTAAAATTTTGTGAATGGTCCTCTGGCCTTCCTGCCAATGGGCAAAATACTTTTTCCTTTTAAAAAGCTGAACGACAAACAAAGAACTTGGACAATACAGGTTTGTTTGAAAATAGCTTCTCTATGCCTTTTATTGACTAGCTGGAAATGAGAGATTCCAAGTTTTCTTCAGCAGTTCTTTCTGTTTAAATCTAGGAGGGTTTGTAGGCCACAAAATGTAAACCAGCTGGTTTGGAAGAATACCCCAGTTGTAGATACATCGAAAGGTTATCTCTAGTCAGGTTTCAAATATGTGATGATGAGGAAAATAGATGTATGTGACAGCTAACCAACAGCAGAGGAAAAGGCCTTTTGCCCGGATTTCTGTACAGACTCGGCCATGTGTGCTCCCGGGTGAGAGCTGCTGGGGGCTCAGCCAGCTCTGGGCAGGCGTATGACTTTCCCTGTGTCCCTGCATTTGTCAGCGGTGATCAGAAACAGTTCAGAGGGTCAGGCTTTTCCATAATCTTGTACTTTATCCATAAAACAGAAGAAATCCCTGAAAAACGTGTATAATAGGAAACCTTCTGTACAAAACAATTTCTGTAGCCTCTCAGAAAACTCTTGAGTTATAGAGAATGTCCTAGGACAGTTTTCTGCTGTGTCTCTGGTGCTGGGTGCATCAATGAAAGAAATGCTTTCTGGTTTCCAAAGCCTGTGTAAGGTCAGGTTATAAATCCAGCGGATAGGACAGATATTAAAGTCCTAGTAATAAAATCCTGGGGTTTTGGCCCACCACTTAATTTTCCATGCTTTGGCTGATACTTTGACTTCCGGTCCTCTCTGATAAAAATGAGGAGATGCCCTTCCTATTTGGTAGGTGAGTGCGTGTTGTTACTTGAAATGTAAGGCTGTGCATCCTTTTCCAGAAGTTAGAAAAAGAAAATTAATCCCTGAGATGGGTGTTTTGCCACGCGTACTCATGCTCTGAAATCACAGTTGTCCACCTGCATGAACTGAGACCAAAAGGGTAACGTTCTAGCCCAGCTTCTATGCTGACAGTGTTCAAAACACCTCTTGGCAAAGGTTTAGGTTTAAAATTACTGAAAACTGCTATTCCAGGTGTTTTCCTAGTCACTTATTTTAGAGTCATCTGTTTTAAAGGAAGGTGTGTTACAGGGTACCTATACTTCTGTGTGGGGAAGAGGATGGTTTTAAACAGAAAAGGAACATGAAATGAATCTATTTCAGGGATTTATTTTGAGATGATTGACTGTTAAGACAGACTTACATCTCATATCTGCAGATTATTATTGTGCAGTGCTCATGCATGCACAGCTCAGGTTCTTTTAATATCTGATATTAGCAGACAGTCAACAGATCATTTTAAAGAATTCCACTATCTTCAACTAATCACTTAAGGAGAAGTCAAATGCCTAATTGGGATAAGGCACATAAGTGCTAAGAATTTGATGTGGGGGGAAGAATAAGGGAGATCAAAAATGAGAGGGGTGGGTAGGACAGTGGTATAGACTATGTCTTGCAATAGTTAAAAGTTTGGACTTCACGTTTGATGATACCTTCAGCCTGAAACTGAGGATCCTCATTATGAAAAATCCTCAGCATGGATTTCATGGAAGCTGTGGAACCTACTTAATTTAGTCTGTTAAAGAGCAATGGTTCTGTTTGTGAGACACAGGGATTTTGTTTGATTTATAACACAGAGAGATCTAAATTTTTTGAGGCTTTCTGCATCGCGGGAGACACAATTCCTGCTAATCAAAGATTCAGATTCAGAAATCCATATGTGCTCATAAACATACTTGAGGCCAACTTTTGTTGAAGTCATCTGCTGCATAGATAAAGTAGAAATCATGCAAATTGCTATCCTGTCATTTCCAGAACAAAAAGCTCTGCTTGGGCTATGTGTTGTATCTTCCAGCTTTCAAACTTAAAGTAATAGCATTGTAAAACTTGTAATTACGAGAACTTTCCCAGAATCTGAATATCAGGACTGTAGTTCTGTATCAAAATCTTAATTCCCATGCTTTATCTAGCATAGAGATCTACATCTGGAAAATACAAACCAAAATAGCATTGGAGAGGACCAGTCTGTACCTAACAGTACTTTCATAAAACTAGTTAACTGTAATTTTTTTGAACAAGCAGATCTGAAATAAAAACCAGAATCCATTCCTGAAGGAGAAAACATATCCAAATGAATAATTAAATTATCTGAACGGATACTGTGCAGCCTGAATTGGTGTCTGTATTGCAAAGTTTTTGTATTTTGTTCATGTTTAGTTGTAATGCACATTCAACAAATGCTTTGTGCTTTTTAGAAATAGCAGACTACATGACAGGTGTTAGTAAACCCGTAATGCTCAAAGGTGCTGGATTTCCATACCTTCTGTCTAATGACAGCAAATAATTAGTTTTATTTTCAACATCTCTGAGGCTCTGTTTCATTCTCTTACAGGGCGCTGAAGGAACCCAAAGAACTGAATTTTATCTTTGGTGTGAATATTGAGCAGCGCGAATTGGATGGCATGTTCATTTATAACTGCAGTCGACTGATAAAGATGTATGAGAAGGTGGGCCCGCAGCTGGAGGGTGGCATGTGAGTTCCTGGAGATTTTTCAGCAACCTTTTTGCTTAAGCCTGGCATGTTCCTACATATAACTTAGGCTGTGCAATAACCTTGTACTGCATTAATCATTCTTCACAAGCATGAGGCTTACTCGTTTTGTCAGCCTTTAGTTTGGATTCTGACAAATAAATTATATTTAATATTGCCTGATATTTCCCTGTTCTCTACACAGATTTTGGTCATACCTGCAGCAGTATGAGGCTTTTGTGTTCAATGCTGGCATTTGAGGCTGATGAATACAGGTAGCAATACTGCCTCATTCTAGGGACAGGGAGAATAGGTCTTGAAAGCAAATACAAATATTTGAGCCCACCTTATTTTTTGCATGCCAACTTGAGTCTGATTTAGAAAGCTGATAAATTAAAACCAGTACTGCTGCAGGAATGTGTGGTTGAGTGAGTGTGATAACCTGATATTTTCAATATTGTTTCTCTGAACAGTGACCTGGTAGCTTAATGATGTTTGTGACTGTGTGTCCCTCTTCCAGGGCATGCGGTGGAGTGGTAGGCGTCGTGGATGTGCCCTATTTGGTTCTGGAGCCAACCCATAATAAACAAGACTTCGCTGATGCCAAAGAGTATCGACACTTGCTGAAGGCCATGGGAGAGCATTTGGCTCAATATTGGAAGGATGTTGCTATAGGTAATGAAGCTTCACAATTACCAGGGGCTGCAAGGCAAAACTTTGGTGGCTGGAAGGCAGCTAAGGGGGAGGGCAGCCAAGAGTGCAGGTGGTGATTTTTGTGGTAATGGCTCCATACTGAGCAGGGGCTTGTTTGTTTTCCAGCCCAGAGAGGTATCATCAAGTTCTGGGATGAATTTGGCTATTTGTCAGCAAACTGGAACCAGCCTCCATCTGGTGAACTGCGCTACAAACGCCGGAGAGCCATGGAGATCCCTACCACGATTCAGTGCGGTACGTCCGACCAGGCTGCGATTAGGAGACTGGTCCTCCCTGGGGAAGTGGGGAGGGACTCCTGGCTGCAGTTGGGGAGCAGCTAAATGGGTAGGAGATTTGAAATGAGCTTTGCTATCATTATCCTGTTCTAGGGCTTGTCTCCTTCTGTGAGTTGCCTTTGTCTGCACTTGATGGTACACTTAGACACCTTGGCGTAAGATTCCTTTCCTGCACAGTTTACTAACCATGATGTTCTTCAGGTGCCCTTACAGAATGGGGCAGGTGTGACCAGTAGCAGTGTTGAGAATGGGCTTAGAAATGTCATATGAACTGGAGCTGGCCAAAGCCACCCATCCCAATACTAGAATAAGATCTGAAACTTCCCCGTAGGCAATGGAAAGTGGCCAAATAATTTGTATTCTGATGCACTGGCCTGCTAATCGGTACTAGGTGTGAGCGCAGAAGGGGAACCATTTAAAGTCAACTTTCAAATTTAATGCAAGCTCTCTTCTGTGCACCTCTAAACAGCTCTGGCTAAGCCCTTATTGGGGTAAGGGAGATCTCAGCACAACCACTTTGTCTCTTAATAGAGGGACACCAAACTCCCTCGACCTCATTTTCCCCACAGGACTTGGGGATGAGGATATAGTGAGGAATGTGAGGCCAGTCTTGTGGAATTATTTTGTTAGGCTCCCCTGCCTTGATGGTTTTCTCAGTCCTTTCCAAGTTCTTCCAAAGAGGAGGGGCTTTCCTGTCATTCTTCTTGTCCTCTGCTGTTGACATCCTTCCAGAGCCCGATTTAAGAACATTTGCATTTTCTTGGCAAAACTTGATTTTTTTTTTTAAGCTGTTGATTTCCTGGTAGGCCAGCAATGCTCTGGAAGCCAACTCTGTCTTCCTGGTTCATCTAAAATTTATTCGATTATTATAAGTTATTTTTTTTAGTGGATAAATCTCTGACTTGTTTTGTATTGGTATCAGTAAGAGACAGCCTGACTTCTGAAATGAGCAGTGATTTCAACACTGGCTGTTCAGTTTGGTTTGTACGTGCTGTCATTGCAGCAGTGAGCATGAGGTCCTCTAGTATTGGTTGATGGCAGGCTTCATCAGATTCTTGTTGTGGATGCCTTATACAAGATTTGAGGTCTTCCTCCAAGCATTTTGTGAGCATGAAGCAAGAACTGACTCAGTATATCCTGTAGCTGTCTCACTTTTTTTTTTTTTTTGGCCACTAGTCTTACTGTCGTTGGATATACTTTGGAAATTGGTGTGGTCCTTGGGTGTTAAATGGGCTTGAGAAGTGCTATGGAAAAAAAAGATTTTGTGGCTCAGGCCGTATATTTCTGACTCACTGTGTTTGTCTAACAGATGTATGTCTGAAATGGCGGACTCTCCCATTCCAGCTGAGTTCAGTGGAGAAGAATTACCCTGATAGCTGGGTATGCTCTATGAACCCTGATCCTGAACAAGACAGGTGAGAATCAGTTAACATAAAGACTTTCTGTAGTGTGCCTTATCTGCACAGGTGGGTTTTTTTCTGGTCAACTGTTCTTTGAGAACAATTGGAGGGGTAGGCAGTAATTCTATACCTTTAAGCTGTGCTCACAGTCTGTGAAAACGTAGTGATGACGTATGTATTTGGAGCTGAGATGTTGGTGGGCATTTGTGCAATATACACATTGCAGAGTGCACCCTCAGCAAGTTTGTAGATGATACCAAACTGGGAGGAGTGGCTGATACGCCAGAGGGTCATGCATCCATCCAGAGGGATCTGGACAGGCTGGAGAAATGGGCCAACAGGAACCTCATGAGGTTCAACCAGGAGAAGCGCAGAGTCCTTCCCCTGGGCAGAAACAACCCCAGGCACCAGTATATGCTGTTCAACCTGGAGCAGAGAAGGCTCAAGGGGGTCTCATCAATGTATATAAATACCTGAAGGCAGGCTGCAAAGAGGATGGAGCCTGGCTCTTCCCAGTGGTGCCCCGTGGCAGGACCAGAGACCCTGGGCACAAACCGCAACACAGGAGGTTCTCTCTGCACGTCAGGAAACACTTTTTCCCTTGTGAGGGTGACCGAGCCCCGGCACAGGTTGCCCAGGCAGGTGGTGGAGTCTCCATCCTTGGAGATATTCCAGGACATGGTCCTGGGCAACCAGTTCCGACTGGCCCTGCCTGAGGCAGGGGGTTTGGACCAGATGACCTCCAGAGGCCCCTCCAACCTCAACCAGTGATTTGGTGGAATTAAGTTCCTTTATGGTTTTTCTGCACTGCCACTGGAAACATGATTGTAGCCTTAGTTTATGCATGCTAATTTTAATGTAGGTAGGATAGAGAGCAACTGAAGAATAGTCATAGGCGCAGGCTGGGAGCGATATATGTACAGTGGGGTCTTTGCAATTGTCTTTATTGATACTATAACTCCAACCCATTAGACACGCAAACTGCAGTAACACCTCTGAGTTGCAGTGACTCCAAGAATGACATTTTGCACACTTGAGGGAGCAACACATCGATTCATTTACCAGTGGTGTGTTTCACAGTTACAAAATTTAGGTAGAATCTAGACATTTATTTGAACGAGGAAAATGATTGCTCTAGGCTGCTGCTTCTCTGTGGAGAGAGACACTGCCAGAAGCTGATTCTTGTCTTTGTTGTATAACGAGGGAAGCTGCTCAGCTGTAATTCAGTTGCCTTGGCTCAGTGCTTAAAGACAAAGGGAATGAATCCAGGTGGTAACTTTTAATTGGAATAAAAATCTTAACATCTGTGGCTCAAAAGGCTACAAAGAAGTGTTGATGTTGATATTTGGAAAGTATTGATTTTCTGGATTCTTCCTTTTGGCACCTGTTATTGGAAGAATGCCGATGCTAACTTCCCTGTTGCTCCATGTATTTGTGCTCTGGTGCAGAGCTACGAAGAGTGTGGTTGTGCTGAGGATGTCCTCCGACTAAACTGCTGGGGCAGGGCCGAATCTGCAAGCCCAAGAAGAGGCTGCTACACCTCCAGCCCCCCCAGTGGAAGCAGTAGCGAGGCTGGGAATGTGTTGCTGGTAGACACACACACAAACACAGATAGACCATGCATGTATGCATGTCCGGCCACGCAGATCAACACAGGTGGACACGTGCAGCACTCACGCAAACCGCACCAGCAGCCTCATCCTTTTCCCTCTCGGCTGATCACGATGAAGGACCACTAGTGGAAATACTCATGCCCGTATCTGGCCCCTGGATCCTGTCCCTCTGGTTACTTGCACTGGGATAGATGAGCCCCGAGGCCTGCAGCCCCAGGGGGTGAGGGGTACAGACCTCCTCACGTGGACACAGATAACACATACATACTACAGATCTCCCGGTGTCTCACCTTGGGCATGCTCTCCATCCCATAGCAGATCTGGATTCTTGCTCTTCCCAGGTGCCTCCTGCCTAGAGGCACCCACAGCTCTGCCTACACCCCCATACCCGTCTCCAGCAGTCAGGCAGGACTCCCCGGTCCCTCCAGTAGTCAGCTCCTGCGGGCTCGCCCTTAGACACCCCCTCCCCTTGCTCCCAGGCTATCTCCTCGCTGGCTCATCTGGCCCGACGTTTGCTGTGAATCACATGTTCATGTGCATGCCTGCAATCCTCCAGAGGCCCTCCAACCTCAACCAGTGATTTGGTGGAATTAAGTTCCTTTATGGTTTTTCTGCACTGCCACTGGAAACATGATTGTAGCCTTAGTTTATGCATGCTAATTTTAATGTAGGTAGCATAGAGAGCAACTGAAGAATAGTCATAAGCGCAGGCTGGGAGCGATATATGTACAGTGGGGTCTTTGCAATTGTCTTTATTGATACTATAACTCCAACCCATTAGACACGCAAACTGCAGTAACACCTCTGAGTTGCAGTGACTCCAAGAATGACATTTTGCACACTTGAGGGAGCAACACATCGATTCATTTACCAGTGGTGTGTTTCACAGTTACAAAATTTAGGTAGAATCTAGACATTTATTTGAACGAGGAAAATGATTGCTCTAGGCTGCTGCTTCTCTGTGGAGAGAGACACTGCCAGAAGCTGATTCTTGTCTTTGTTGTATAACGAGGGAAGCTGCTCAGCTGTAATTCAGTTGCCTTGGCTCAGTGCTTAAAGACAAAGGGAATGAATCCAGGTGGTAACTTTTAATTGGAATAAAAATCTTAACATCTGTGGCTCAAAAGGCTACAAAGAAGTGTTGATGTTGATATTTGGAAAGTATTGATTTTCTGGATTCTTCCTTTTGGCACCTGTTATTGGAAGAATGCCGATGCTAACTTCCCTGTTGCTCCATGTATTTGTGCTCTGGTGCAGAGCTACGAAGAGTGTGGTTGTGCTGAGGATGTCCTCCGACTAAACTGCTGGGGCAGGGCCGAATCTGCAAGCCCAAGAAGAGGCTGCTACACCTCCAGCCCCCCCAGTGGAAGCAGTAGCGAGGCTGGGAATGTGTTGCTGGTAGACACACACACAAACACAGATAGACCATGCATGTATGCATGTCCGGCCACGCAGATCAACACAGGTGGACACGTGCAGCACTCACGCAAACCGCACCAGCAGCCTCATCCTTTTCCCTCTCGGCTGATCACGATGAAGGACCACTAGTGGAAATACTCATGCCCGTATCTGGCCCCTGGATCCTGTCCCTCTGGTTACTTGCACTGGGATAGATGAGCCCCGAGGCCTGCAGCCCCAGGGGGTGAGGGGTACAGACCTCCTCACGTGGACACAGATAACACATACATACTACAGATCTCCCGGTGTCTCACCTTGGGCATGCTCTCCATCCCATAGCAGATCTGGATTCTTGCTCTTCCCAGGTGCCTCCTGCCTAGAGGCACCCACAGCTCTGCCTACACCCCCATACCCGTCTCCAGCAGTCAGGCAGGACTCCCCGGTCCCTCCAGTAGTCAGCTCCTGCGGGCTCGCCCTTAGACACCCCCTCCCCTTGCTCCCAGGCTATCTCCTCGCTGGCTCATCTGGCCCGACGTTTGCTGTGAATCACATGTTCATGTGCATGCCTGCAATCACTGCAGCTGGTGGCACCCAGGCACACAGGCCTCTGTGACTGGTGGTCCCACTCCAGCTGCTGGCACTCAGACCCCCATACACACATGCACACGCAGAATAGAGCCCCTTGCCCAGGAAAGTAGTAGAAATGGAGTTTAGTACAAAGACAAGTGTACTGACCAGCCAACTGTTTATGTACAACTGGCCCTTTTTAGCCTTTTATTTCTCTGTTTTCCTATGTTTGTTCCTCCCCAAATCATCTCAATCCCTTCCTTTACCGGCTTTCGGTTCCTCCCGTGGGTCCAAAAGATGCTTCGGAGAGCCGCTCCCATTGACTAGACACTGGGGCTGAGGCTGCCCTGGGACAGCCCTGGCAGGAGCCCAAACAGGGTATCTGTTCCTCTAAGTACCTAATTTGCATTCCCTGAGCTGCCTTTGGGCCTCTGGGCTTGTGGATATGGGCCTTGGATGGGCTGGTGGCTCCTGGGATGGCCTCGGAGTATCCAGGGAAGGGTGTTACTCAGGTTCCCCCACCTGCTGTTGACTTTGTGCTCTTTTGTGTCTGTGCAGATGAGCTTTTTTTATCATGTAACCTAACGAGAACTTGATTTGCTAATGAAAGAATTTAAAATTTGTATTTGCAATACCTTGAAAATTTGGAGGTGATTGGCTGCATTTCATGTGAGAACATATTGGAATGTTGGTTGGAGTGAATTAAGAGGGCCTCCGTGGTGTGTGCATGCACGGTGTTGTCCTACATCCCCCTTGCAGGGCAGTGGGAAAGGGCAGGTGAGGTGCTTTGGACAGGTGATCCAAACTTCTGGTCATTTCATCTTCTTCAAAAGGGATCTCAGGAGTCTTACTTTGGGAGGATAAATAACTATAGAATATTTTTGGATTGAGTACGTTCACATGCACTTTCCAACAGTGAGTGCAGTTGCGTCCTTTTACACGAGGCAGAAGGTTTTCCACAGAAGTTGCACTAGGACTCCTCTGGCTTGGTTGGTGCCAGTAGAAAGCAGGGCTTCCTTGCAGTCACTGCACTTCTGAACTTCCCTTCCAAGTGCTCTACTGCCTGATGTTCCTTGCTGTGTCCTTGTGCCATGGGTTTGGACACCTTCACCTCTGTGTCTTGACCATGTGCCCCAGCTGTTCCGTTCCAGGTATTTGTACTGTCTGAGGGAGGACTGAGGATTTGGGAAGCATTGCTGTTGCCACCATGGGTGGGAGACCTCAAGCTTGTGCGCCATGAGGGTCTGTGCAGAATCTCATCCAGCCAAGTTGAAGATGAAGCACTGTCAGAGCTGATGGTTCGGACGCTCTCCTGGCATCAGAAGACCACGTGGTGGTTTTGGCTGCCTCGGGATTGTCTGCCTGCATTGTGTCCGCTGTTGGCACTGAGCTGTTCTCCACAAATCCTTCTGATTTGTCCACCTACACCTCAGTTTCTGCTGGTGGCACGTTGTCCCAGATCATGGGAGCTGGATGCCCTTCTCCATCTCTGTCATGTAAAGCAGTCACACCTTCCAATGCCACGGTCTATGTTGGGACCAGCCCTAAGTGGCACCATTGCTCACTTTGTCACAGAGGAGGCAGCGTGTCTGTGTCACACTTCCATGTCATGCTTGCTCTCCTCCCTTTTCCTACCTAAATTCCAGTTGGGTCCTAAACGGCATTTGGACTCGTGGCTGAAACATCAGCTGAGATGACTCTCTGGCTTAAAGCTCCTTGAGCATCACCAAAGTCTTGGTGCTGAGTTGCAGACTATTCTGACTACAAAGATAATTCCTTTTTTCTGACTTGCTGCCTCTAGTGATGCAATCTGTGGTTTTGAATGTCATGAATAGTCTTAATTTTTTCCTGTCGGCAGAACTAATGGGCACTTTCATACTTTCTTGTGCTGTAAGATACAGCTTAACAATGTTTTCAGCCTCAATTCATGCAACGGCATAGGAGATGGCATTTCTCTGCTGGGAAACTTGTGTATGGTGCCACTTGTTCAGCTTTATCTTTGGGAATTGCAGCTTTGGTGTCAGGCAGTCATTTTGCAGTGATGACAGATACTTTCTTAGCCAAGGAAGTAATCGCTCTATGAAAAACTCCTCTGCAGTGCTTCACCTGAGAAGAGGCTGGTGGAGAAACTGCTGCTTGTGCTCCTTTCCACTGACAAAGCTGATCACAGTATGTATCTCGCAGACTAGAGGAGATCCCATCAGTTGGCAGGTTCAGGATCAGAGATCTTGATAAAATCATCTCTAATCAGCCTCTTGGAGCTCTGTGTGATCCACAACGAGAGCGGGGTCCTCCCTTTATCTCTAAGACTCATGCTTGCGGGAATTTTTTAAAGGCTTGGCTCCAAGGCAGTGTAGGAGTCAGCTGGATCTCTTGCGTTGTGCAAGAGTTGTCTTGGTACTGTTGCTTTCCTATCTCACATCATGCCTGCATGACTGCCCTGAAGGGGTTGATCCTAGTGTGTCCATCCATGACTCAGCTCTGTGACAGGAGACGAGCCTGGGAACCCTTCAGTCCCCTCTTCTTCCTCTGGCAATGCTCCTGATGGCCAGCTGCTCAGCCAGAAGTTTGAAGGTGATGCCAGTCCACTTTCATGTATTTCCTACCTGCGTTTTCCTCCTCTCTTAAGGACTCTTCCAGGATTCTGCATCTGAGAGGACCTGAGGGAGTAGGTGGCAAGGATACTCGCCACTCTTTTGTAGGCCATAAGCGGAACAGGATGGGGAAAAGCAAATAGTTAAGCGATATTGCAAAGGAAAACTTTGTGGTCTTGGGCGGCAAGGCGAAGTGCATCTTCTGTTGGAAGGCTCGTGTAAACAACGTCTTAATCATGGGTTGCTGGTAATAAGCTTTACTTTCTAAATGGAAAGGCAGTCTGTAAAAAGAGGAATTGATATGAAGACATAAGTTGATAGGAAGGAAAATTGCTGTAAAAGTCCAGAGTACAGAAACATTATAGAAAACCAGTCACAGCTGTTCCTAAGCTTTGTTTAGCTCCTGGGCTCTGAATTGGTAATTCCCAGTGTAAATGGCTTGTTTTTTAACAACTATGCTTTTGATCCTTAAATCATATATTTGTTTCCCAGGAAGACCACCACTGTTTTTGAGATTGTGGCTACTGTGGAAAGGAAAGCGGTTTTACTGCTGCATTTGGGATGGGATGTGGGGACGGTGCTGTGTGTGTGAGACAGTGCAGGTTCTGCTGTTGTTGCTGAGGTTGTCTTGCATTCCCTTTGTGTTAGATGTGAGGCTGCAGAGCAGAAGCAGAAGGTACCACTGGGAACTCTGAAGAAAGACTTGAAATCACAGGAGGAAAAGCAGAAACAACTGACAGAGAAAATCCGCCAGCAGCAGGAAAAGCTGGAAGCTCTGCAGGTGAATCTGGAGGTCTCCAGCTAAGCACAGCAGGTTTGAGGGACCTCCTAGTGCAAATGGCTGATGCCAGGTCCTGTCTGCCTCAGCCTCTAATGCCACCTGTGCTCCTTCATGGGGTAGGAGTTGTTTTAATAACAGAAAACAAGCATCTTGGCTTGCATTTCATTTTCTGCTAGGAAAATGGGAGTGGCTGCTGGTGTTCGGATAAAGTGATGTCTCTTGAAGGACACAGAACACACCTTCTTATAATTGTTGATTTTAAACTGGAAAACTGTTTGCTGGGCTGGGTTCAGGCAGGCCCTGACAGCTTTTAAAGATGGTCTTTCTGATTTTTAAATTTTTTTTTTAATAGAAAACCACTCCAATTCGATCTCAAGCTGACTTAAAGAAACTGCCTCTGGAAGTGACCACACGGCCTGCAGGGGAGGTAAATGGGATACCACTGTAGGCTTTGTACTCTTCTGTGCTATCCTTAGCTGCTCTGAAAAGCAGTGCCCGACTCCTCTGTCCTTTCTGTACCCTCATTTGTTTCAGAACACCCAGTCACAGACCCGACCTCAGCGCCCGCGATCTCCTCCTTTACCTGATGTAATCAAGAACGCTCCCAGCAGACCACCACCACCTACACCTCTTCCCAAGTCCATCAATCAGCTGAAAAAGAGCTCTTCAGCTTGGCCAAATATCAGCACTCCCAAACTGGCAAGCATGCTCTCCAAGGAGGAGGCCAGCACTTCCAGGACACACCAGCACACTGTGACAGCTGGAAAGTCTAACAGCGCTTTAAAAACTCTTGCCAAACCAGGTACAACAACGAAACCACCTTCTGCTGTCCTGCAGAACCCCAAAAGCTCACGTGAGACACCCAGTCCAAAAGCTGCCAAGGTGCCATCACTAAAGAAATCTGCCACTGTCAAATGCCCACAGGTGAGACTCGATGGGATGAAAACTGTCAGCTCCTTACGTATGATTCTGCATAGCCTGTCTTGCTCTGTCGTGTGGGATTTGCACTGTAGTCCCTGCGCAGGGCAAGATAACTTTTACTTTACTCTTGGGCTAGGGTGCCATTCTACACCCCTTGTGAAGACTCGTTTCATCTCTTTCCTGTTAGACCAGACTGTTTCCCCAGAAAAAAAAGAATGTGGAGTGGCGGGGTGAGCGTTCGCATGATCACGTAGCACCTGCTAAAACCTTCTGGAAAAGCTAATTAACTACCAAATTAAATACTGGATGCTGAGCACGTTTTTTTTTTTTTAACTTGGCTGAAAGAAGGTTTTGGTTGGTAGCATGCTGGAATTGTAGCTAGAGCTTGTTTGCTTCCTCTCCAGCCCTACCACTCGGAAGAGGACCTTGAACACCACAGAGGATGGGTGTGAGGAGGAGGGGGAAAGAAGGAGAAGACAAAACGAACGAACTACCAAATTAAATACTGGATGCTGAGCACGTTTTTTTTTTTTTAACTTGGCTGAAAGAAGGTTTTGGTTGGTAGCATGCTGGAATTGTAGCTAGAGCTTGTTTGCTTCCTACAGGCCTCCACCACTCGGAAGAGGACCTTGAACACCACAGAGGATGGGTCTGAGGAGGAGGGGGAGCACAAGAAGGAGAAGACAAAACGGGGCAAATTTGTGGCAGTGAAAGAAGAGAAGAAGGATTCCAGTGAGGTGGTGGTAGAGGTGAGAGTGCACTGGTTTCCCCAGCAGAAGGTGTTTGCCAAGTGTTTATAATCTTGTTGGGAGGCAGCTAATCTGAGCTCTCTCTGCTCACAGCTCACAGACAGTGCTGGGGAAGAAGAGCTGGCAGAACTGAAGAAAGCTCAGAAAGGTGAGAAATGAACCCTTAAACGGCCTCTGGTATCTAACACAGTGGAAAAGAACTGTTGCAGAACTAGACTCACTGGTTAAACATGTGATTTCATTAATGAGCTTTTTAAAATAAGAATTAGTGTAAATTTGGGTCCCAAACCCTGAGATGACTCTAACTTGCATGAAACATTTTGGCCAGGAACTCCTTGATTAGACAAGAGGCAATTGTGGCATGGGAAGATCTGTAATCTGAGGGCTGCGTCACGTTAACGGGTGTGATGCTTGTCTGCGTGGTGTAGACCGATGTCATGCTCACCCTTCCTAACTGAATGGATCGTGGAGCTACGTTAGCTGGGAAATGCTGAGGACTGTATCTAGGCCTGCTGCGCTGCTGTGAGAGAAGGGGGGCCAAAAGACCCCCAGGAAAGATGATAGCCAGGATGGTATTGCACTTAATGCCAGAGCCTAGTGGCCAACACGAGCCTGGAAAGCCCATGTCAAACAGCCCAGAGTACAGGAGAAACCTTCTGTCTGAAAATGCCATATAATTTCCTTGCATCTTAATGTTTCTATGTAGGAGTTGAACTGTGTGACGGTAGTGTTTTTATGGTTTACGTACCATTTGAAGGAATTGTCACAGGTTTAGGTTTGCTCCCCGCTGAGGGTGGCTGTCTTCTCTAGAGCTTATGCAGAATGTGCTCTCCAGCATCTGAATGTTTGCAAACATCTTTGCTGTTGTTCTCCTTGCAGATAAAGGGCTGCATGTGGAAGTGCGTGTGAACAAGGAGTGGTTCACAGGCCGTGTCACAGCTGTGGAAATGGGCAAGCATGCAGTACGCTGGAAGGTGAAGTTTGATTATGTTCCTACAGACACCACACCAAGGGATCGCTGGTAACTATCTCTAGCTACTGGATTTTGGAGGCTTGTTTTGCTTTTAGGAGGAAGACCCCATTTTACTTCCATTGATGCTGAAGACAAATATGCTGCTGTCATGTCAGGAAGTGTGTGTGTGTGCTCAGGACTGTCCAGCTGCTTCATAAGGAATGAGCGTGACAGACTCCATACAGTCTGCCCATCGCTTTGATGTGATGTTCCTGTGGAGGCAGCTGTTGCGTGATCTAGAGGTCTCAGAGTGACAGCTGGGTACAGGTTCTCTGTTAACAGTGTTTCAGGTATGGTCAATGTAGAAAAAGATATCTGACTTTCCCTTAATATTTTTTTTTCAGGGTAGAGAAGGGGAGTGAGGATGTGAGGTTGATGAAGCCTCCCTCTCCTGAGTACCAGGCTCCAGATACGCAGCAGGAAGAGGAGGTTGTTGTGGCTGAACCTTCTACCTCAGATTGTGTCAGAATTGAGCCAGACACCACTGGTCCCAGCAGCAGCCAAAAAACAGTAGACTTACTAGTCCAGATCCTTCGGTGGGTTCACTGCTGTTCTTGTGAGCTGCTGCAGTCTGATTGCTTTAGTCTTTTAAACTCCCAGTTCTGGCTTTGTGTTTTTCTTTCCTGCATAGAAATTGTTTGCGGTACTTCTTGCCTCCGAATTTTCCTATCTCCAAGAAGGAGCTGAGTTCCATGAGCTCGGAAGGGTTGTTGGCGTTTCCCTTGGTGAGTTCAGTATTTCTAGAAAAGTAAGTTTGGGGATTTTCCCACACACACATTCCATTCTTATGGCAAGTGTGCATCCTGTTGATGCAATATCGTACTCTTCAAAAAGTTATTTGGATCCTTAGCAGACTAACATAGCTGAGAAAAAGAATGAGAGCCTCTGAAATATGTCTTAGGTCTTTTGACAGTTGTTGTATGATGATTTTTTTAATTACCATACATCTGTGTGGGAAAGCTGTTGGCTGCTACTATCCTAACTTCTTGTCCATTGCTGTTAAGCTTTTAAAAAAGAGAGGCCAGGTTAGAGGTTTGTAGAAATAGGATCTAGGCATACCTGTTCGTTTTGCCCCCAGCCTTATAAATCTAACTTATGCAGAGGCAATCTTAAAAATGGGAGAGAACACAGAAGCCAACCCCCCTCACACCTCTCCAGGTGAGCAGGCTGACCGCCTGTGAGTCAGCTGTACATCTTAAGGCTTTTGGTGTGGCCTCTGTTTATTTGAGCAAGGAATAGATGGGGCTGAGGCTGCACCAGTATCTGCATGCTGGTATTGGAAGGTCCAATGCAGGCTGAAATGCGGAGAAATGGTACTGGCTTCTCTGACTTCTCTCTTCTCTGACATACTGCAAAGGGAGGCCTTTTCAGGAGGCATCTGTAGGTGACAAAAGCCACCTACAGATCACCAAATGACAAAAGCCACTTCTTATTTGGTAGTCTTCGAAGTGTCCTACTCCCTCACTCACAATGTATATATTGTCAGTCTCTCGTCTCTTCCTCTTTTCTCTCTGTTAATTCAGGTGTCTGCTTGAGTTACCGGTCCTGCTGCTTCCGCAGGACATATTGGTCTTGTCTGGAGTTTTCTGCAAGTGTAGATGTTCCTACCTTGCAGTAATAAGCTGTGCTGTCTGTGTGGTCTATACTAAGGAAACCTCACTGTGTACAGAGGCTGTCAGATCTTTCTACAGCGTAACTGTGGTTTTAGGCTTTTTAAAACATGCTGCATCCTTAATCTGAATTCGGGCAGCTTTTGTTGCAGTTCTGGTCTTTGAGGAATGTGAAAACCTGTGTGATTTTTGTGCTGCCTGTGGAAATGTAAATGTGAGCATGGTAACGACCGTGGGCAGGGCGTGCAGGGGTGTTAGGCTGGTGGTGTTCGGTCACGGGGTGCCGGTATTTGGACTCTTCTACAAGCTGCAAGTGCTGGAGTTTTCTTGACACTCGGTGCTTCTTCTTAACATGTGATCTGTTGTGTTTTGTCTTCTACAGAAAGAATATTTCAAACAGTATGAGGTAGGTCTGCAGAACCTGTGCAATTCATATCAGACACGTGCCGACGCCCGGGCCAAAGCCTGTGAAGAAAACCTCCGCAACTCAGAGAGAAAGCTGAAGGAAACGGAGGAGAAACTGCAGAAGCTGAGGACTAACATCGTGGCCCTTCTGCAGAAAGTGCAGGAGGTGGGTGAGGAAGGGGTGCGAAACGAGAGCTGCCCCACAAGTAGCAACCTTCCCCAGACCCAGGCCGCTCCAGGCACTTGAGATGTTTTAGTCCAGCATTTAACTGGGCTTCAGCTCTTTCTCAATTGAGTGCAACTTGGGCTTAGACCATCAGAAGCAGCTGAGTGAGCAGCTGCTGTCGCTGCCCACCTTCTGGGATCCAGGCCTTGGGGGTCCTGATGAGTGTTAATTTTTGCAGATGGATTTTTCATGGCATGTACATAGTGCACAGCTTCTATTTGTTTTCTGCTTTCTGCTATGAAACATGGGGCTGCAGGAGAATTTCCCTGGGCATAGGCAGTGTTCTGCAAGGAATTTCTGCCTCATTCTTGGCCAGAAAGGTGGTGCTAGATTCTGAACCCCATGTATAGAAATGCAAACCTTTAAACAAATAACACTCAATATAAATTTTTTTTATGTTGGAATCTATTAATTATACTACTAAATATTAAATTAAAATTGCAAATATATATTTAAATAAAAGCTTTAAATAAATAAACTTTAAATAAAAAGCTACTTTAAATAAAATTAAGACCACCCAATGGAAAAGCTACTGAAAGCAGGTGGAAGCAGTTGCTCTCTATTAGGAAAATGTGTGTTAAAGCTGAAAAAAAAAAATACTATCTTGACCCTGATCAGCACAGTAAATCTATTGCTTGAGTGCATTGTTTGAGCATCAAGTGCTGACTGGTTTCCAGGTGTTGTCTGTCAGGCTCTGACAAGGAAAGCTGGTGGTGCTTTCACAGCAGATGTCAACAGCTAAATATTAAAAATTGCAAATATATATTTAAATAAAAGCTTTAAATAAATAAACTTTAAATAAAAAGCTACTTTAAATAAAATTAAGACCACCCAATGGAAAAGCTACTGAAAGCAGGTGGAAGCAGTTGCTCTCTATTAGGAAAATGTGTGTTAAAGCTGAAAAAAAAAAATACTATCTTGACCCTGATCAGCACAGTAAATCTATTGCTTGAGTGCATTGTTTGAGCATCAAGTGCTGACTGGTTTCCAGGTGTTGTCTGTCAGGCTCTGACAAGGAAAGCTGGTGGTGCTTTCACAGCAGATGTCAACAGCTGGAGAGTGCTGGAAGTCAGGGCGTAAAGGCTGACCAGGGCAGATGTTGCAGAGGATGCTGTGCTGCTCTGTCTTGTCCATTCTTGCACTGTTCTTCAAGATTCACTTTTCACTGGTATTTCTTGTGCCTTTGGTTTCAGGACATTGATATTAATACAGATGATGAACTGGATGCATATATCGAGGACTTGATCACGAAAGGAGATTGAGCAGCCCCGGTACAAGTCCTAGAGAAGTGCAGAGGAGCTGGTTGCTGCGATGGGAGATGTGGATTCCTGCAGTGGAGGACTATGGCAGCTGATGAGAGAGGGTTTTTAGACAGTACTTATGTTGTGTTGGTGTACAACTTGTTCTTGTGACTTTACATGAAAAAGACATTTGTGCTGTTGGCAGGAAAATTTTTAACATTGTAGTTCTCTGAATCTCTTCCTTTTGTTTATAAATATTTATTTTTAAAAGAAATAGGAACTGTGCCTGATATGCTGGGAGGGTTGCTGTGTGTTTTTAGTGAGGTAAAAGTGTGGGTACCCTTTTTGCATCTGGGGTATATTCATATGCTAAACCTGGAACACCAGAACATCCTGCCTAGCAGGTTGTCTCAAGTAAGAACCTGGCAGCAACTTAAAAATAAGCCTTGAGTTATGGAAGAGGAGGTCAGGACTTAGACTTCGAAGATACTGAACTTGGGCTAGAGAAAGCCAAGTCAGGAATTTGAGCTACATGGAGGAGATCAAAACACAGTCCCTGTGTGAGCGTGAGTGGAGGGGATGAAATCATGGTGGTTCTGAGGGGGCTGGGGGTAGGGAATTGGCACTTGCTGGTGCAGTGAGGTTCCCGAATATGAGGTCTCCGTAAGCAGGTGGAGTTGTCACCATGCTAACAGTCAGAGGCTGAGGATCCTTTTAGAAGAGGACAGCCTCCTAGGCTGCTTGCAGTGGGTTGTGATCATCAGAGGGAGAAAGCTGGAGTTCAGATTCTTTTCTAGCAGTCACCTTATTTCACACTTTTGCTGCTGTTTCTTTGAGACGTCATTGCAACGGCAGAAGAACTCCTCGACCAGCTGAAAATAGTGACCCTCTGTTCTGTTGTCACTCCCTCAGGTTTGCGTTGCTTTGATCAACTTGCTCTGATCAACTTGCTTTTCCAGGTAATTTTATTAGAGTGCTGGAATTTGGAGCCTTTGGAGCCCTGCATCGCTGAGTCACATCTGGCCCTGGGTCAGCAGCAAGGACAGTGCCTCTCCCCCGTCCTCCCAGCTGGAGGCTGCACTACAGCTCCTAGCAGACCACTTGTGGCCAAGGTGACTCAGTTTGAGTTCGCTGGCTAGCCAGCTTCTCAGGTCTGCTGGGACAAGATGTCCATGAACTCGATGCTCAGAAAACTGAAATCCCCTACAGCCTGGCGGTGTGAAGAAACACAGCGTGACCAAGAGGTGCTCACCTTCAGGAACATCAAATGAAATGGACCATTGAGGTTCTTTTGACAGCTGAATGTGTAATAGATGTTTTGCAAAAAAATTTCCAAATTAAACATCTGTTGCACAGAAAATCTTAAGCACTAATGGTTTATAGTCCTGGAGAACTCCCAAGTTGTACATACCACGGGAGAGAGGGAAGACTTTCGCTTATTACCTGAATTCCAGGTCCTTGTAACAGCACACAGTGAGACTGACTGCTTTCATTCAGGATCTGGGCCCGGACATCCTAGTATAAATGAAGGTAAGGAGCATCCCCCCCACCCCTGTACACCTTCCTGGACAGAGGGACAGCGTCCCTTAAATGTAGGAGCAAGCTCTACCAGTCTTCTCAGTTTCCTTACACGTATTGGAGGTTTTGTTAATTGTAATGGCACACTGGTGCTTCAGATGAAAATGATCCTTCTGTGGAAGCTGAGTTTTATATTAAGGTGAAAGAAGAAATCTTTGTCCTTTCCAGGTGGCCAGCAGAAATTCTAAAGAACCAGATTTCATTAAAATACAGTTCAGAGGTGCTGCTGCTTGCAAGCTTTAATTCATAACACCCAGAGTATACCAATGTGGGACAAACAGCTCTTACACATTTCTTGAGCTTCCTGACACAGTTTGATCCCCTACTCCTGCTCTCCTCTTAGGAAGGTGTTACTAATTTTTTCCCTCTGTTGTCTGGAAACTTCTCATTTCCAGTTTTAACTTTTTTTTTAATGGCATTTCATTTTTTTGATCTTGTACCAAGTATTTTTGTTTGAGTTACATTTCTTCCCTGGAGTTACTTTCATCAGTACAATTGATGTGTCCTCTCTAAACTTCCATTTTGCTAGGAAAAGCAAGCCAAGAACTTTTAAGCACCAATAAAACAAGTTTTTCATTCTCAAAACCTTCCTGGTAGTCCTTCTTTGCAGCTGCTTCAAAATTTTTTTTTGTAACCTTGTTAAGTAGACCTATGTGTAACGTTAGGTTTTAGTAATGCTTTTAAAAAACGTAGGAACAAAATGACCTCTGGAGGTCATCTAAATAACCTGCTCCAAGCAAGGGGTACTCAAAAACTGTATCACACTGTTCAGGGCCTTTTCCAGTTGAGCTCTTAAAATCTTCAAGGGTGGAGGCTGCACCACTTTTCTGCATCGCACACCTCTCCAGTGAGTGTGTTCTTCCCTTGCGTCTAACAAGGGTGTCCCTGTTGCAGCTTTGGAGGCTGTTACAGCTACCTGTTGAAGATATCTCACCTGCTGCAGCCTTGGCAGTTAGACCTTCATGCTGCAGTTAAGCCTGGTGATACCATGTCTGTGCTCAGTTCCCTCGGTCTTCCTCTCCGCTTCCAGCTGTTTCTTACAGCAGAAATACTAAGAAGTACACGACTTGCATTTTGTACAACATCCCCTCTCTTTATAAGGCCCACCTTAAGTGCCTCCTTTATGCCCATCATTACAGTTGTTCATTTTGGAAATTCCTCCCACAGCTGTCACCTAGATAATTCATAGCATACATATTTCTACTGGTAAGGTTGCTAATTTATGTATTTAATAATAAGGCAGGAGAATAACTTTTTTAACATGAACTTTTGAGTCTCATGATGATTATTGTTCCAGGCCAACTTTGCCTCAGCCTCTCGCCCGCTGTAGCGCACAGCCTTGGGGAGCTCCTGTCAGCAGGACCATGATTGTCCTTGCTGCTTCCCTCGCTGAAGTGCCAGCCTTACCCTGGAACCCAAGGTCTCTGTCGGTGATCCTCCATCGTGTATGGATTCGCCCAGTTTCTCTTGCAGAGTGGAACAAGAACACCTGAGGTCATGGCAATCGGTCCCTCTCCCAGTGTGAGGGACACGGTCCTGCCTGCATGTCTTTGAAGGGTCGTGTATTGCTGCTGTTCCTTAAGTGGAGGCTTGGAATTCCGCGTCACCAGCATCGGATCCAGGGTTTGATTTTTATGGCAACAGGATCAACATTTCTTTTTTTTTTTTTTTTTTTTTTACGAGTCACTCCCGCACCCTATAGTGGAGCCCACAGGGTTTTTTTTTTTTTGTGGCAAAGGGCAACTTTTTTTTTTTTTTTTTTTTTTTTTTTTGCAAGTCATTCCTGCAGCCTATAGTGAGGACCGGCTGGGCTTTGGGGTGCCGCTTGCTTTCAGCTACCTTACAGGGCTATTCTTTCTCATGCAGTGGGGCACGCTCAGTCTCCTCTTCTGCCACTGCCTTACCCGAAAGGCACAGCAAACTTCTCCGCCAAGAAAGTCTTTCTGGTCTCCAGGCCCCCGGGTATCTCGATCTACTCAGGAGAGTACCAGTTATTTTGAAATCCCTCTTAGCAGCATCTAAATTTGTTTGTGGTCTCAGTCCTGGTCATACGCGACCTGACTTGACCAGTGCCCGCTGTGTGGGATGAGACCAGGCAGACAACTCTTGGATGATCTTGCTATACCCGTTCTCATCAGCAAAGCTGCAGCTGCACAGCGGGAGCAGAGGAGACCCTTCTCTCAGCCTGCACTGGAGGGAAGACTCCAAGAAAGCTCTTCAGCACCCCTTGGGAGGCCTGGAGGACTCTGGGCACCTGCCACATTAGTGGAATGAGAACCCCCCCCAGGTTCATGGGGACCTCTGGGAGCCCAGGCTGCATGTCCAGGGAACCCTGCCCTGTGGTTTCAGTGTGTGCAGAAAAAAGGTGCTTTGGGCCACTCCAGCCCTCAAACGCTCCCTCTTCTCCCTGGGCTGCAGCCCATTGAGCACAACAAATCATAAACTCACCATCCCCTCATCCTGCTGGGAACCCCCCACTGTGGGGTGGCACCACTCTGGCTGCCCCAGAAGAGGGCAGGGGACAGGGCTGGGGATATTAAGGCGCTTCTAAGGCTGCTGTTGTTACCTGAACACACTGAGCAAAGCATCTGAGCAGGGAGGGACATGTTGAGTCGTGTAAGTACAGCAGGAGCACTGTGCTGCAGAGCCCATTGCTCTCATTGGGAAGGAGCCCGAGTCCCAGTGTCATGGGCAGCTGGGACTGGAAGAAAAAAAAACCCAGAAGCCTTGGCTCAGCCTGGAAGGGAGGGTGGGTACCGATCCAGGGTGTTTTCATGGTGCACCGAGCCCAGAGCCCTTGTTTTTCCTGTCTCTTCTTTCTGAGAGGCTGTGGCCGCCCGCAGCAAGCAGCGATAGTGCTGTGTGCAGGGCTGCCATGCCTGGGGCTGGCAGCCCAGATGAGCCTGCGCTGTGTGTGCAGGTGATGGGGTGGGCTCTGGTCCGGCTGGGCTCTGCAAACAGCTGCTGAGAAGCTGCAGTGAGAAGCCAGGCTGGGGCCAGTGCCACCACGCTGGCTCCTGCTGCCTGCATCCCTGTCTGATCTCGGAGTATGTGGCTTTGGTTTTGCTGGCCAAGGAAGGCACGGGCAGCCGTGGTGCTGCAGGTCTGGTGGCCTCGTGCCCTCCTCGCCCAGCATGGCACTGGCACCAAGGCTGTTCCCCTTCTGCCTCCCCTGGGCTACACTCAGCCAGGCTGAGGTGAAGCTGCCAGCTCAGCTGCCAGGCATGGGCTGCGTGGTGGGACCCCCTGAGCGAGGGCACTGCCACTGGCTCATCAAGTGCCTCTTTGTGCAGGAGCCGCTAGTGCCTGGGAACACAGGACACGTGTGGAGGCATCAGCCCCTGGTGTTGCCCTGTCTCCAGGGAAACATCCCCCGGCAGGAGAGGCATCCCCGGCCCCTGCCAGGGCACCCCCACCCTGCCTTTGTTGGCTCCGATGCTTTTCTTTGGGAGACAAGGGGATAAAGTCTTCCTTTTCCTGCCAGACGCCAGCTCCTGCTGCAGCTGCCTGGAAGTGGCTCCCCTCGCCCTGAAAGGGTCAGCTGGCGTCTCCCCGGAGGAGTGAAGGCAGGCACTCAGCGCCGGAGCCAGCCCTGGGCCAAGGTGCGGCAGTGCCCGGGGCTGCCCACGGCTGAGCGCACAGTGGGGCCCTTGTCAGAATGCCGGGAGCCGCTGGCACCTCCTTGTCCTGGACCCTGCAGGCAGCT